CGGCATCGTCGACAGCGACGACCACCGACTGACGTGCTGACGAGAGAGCAGAAGCGATGCGCCTTCGCTGCTGAAGGATGGTGTCCTGTGCGAAGGCGTTGGGTTGCTGTGGAATGAGGGTTGGGTTGCCTTGGCCCAGCAAAGGTCCGGCGAGACCGGCGTGCTGCTGATAAGGTGGAATGGATAATCGTAAGTGGCGTGAGAAGTGGCGTGTTATAAGCACTTGCACTCCACCAGGGCGATGTGTGCGATTCCCTCGGGGGCGTGAGGGGTTTCTCGGGCGGAGGAGAGAGCGTGGGCGGTGTGATAGCGTTGGCAAGGGCGCTGTAGTGGTGCTGCAGGTACGGATAGGGAAGCTCCCGACGCCGCCGTACAAGTTAGGCGGCGAGACGTTGGCAAGTTGTCCACGGACGTGAGGGAGAGTCGTGGTGGGAGTCTGTTGATGGAAAGGACCGAATGCATTTCTGGCGTGACCGTTGCTGTAATAATCCATGGCTGTTCCCTCAACTGTGCCACAAGAATACATCTCAGTGCCGTTGGTTCCGCAAGGAGCAAGTGGGAAGCGGAGAGTGAGGTGGACCTTACCTGCGAGCAGTGATATACCTGTCCTGGGAATGCGGGTTCTCCTCTCGGCCGTCTGTCAAATACTGCCAGTATACCCAAATGTATTTTATTTACGATTTATTTTTTTCTGTATAATTTTCATACTTTATTATTTGGATATTCTGAATATACGTGAATACTAAATCAGTGAACAAATAAATGCACACAACACACACAATATATATATATATATATATATATATATATAATATATATATTATAGAGAGAGAGAGAGAGAGAGAGAGAGAGAGAGAGAGAGAGAGAGAACTTCACGACTTGGAATTCCATAGGTTACTCTGGCATTACTCGTTTGCTTAGAATTACTACTATCATTTTATATTTATTTAATCTATGCACTTATTCTGCAACTTGGTCTTTGGTTAGCTTTTTACTTATGCTTACGTGACGCATTATCCAGGTATTCTAAAGCTTCATATTCGTTCCTGCAGCCATTCTTTTGATAGGTACATCTCAAGACAGATGTGCAGCTAGCGGGAAAATGGGCGTGTTGAGGGAGTGGCGGGGCAACAAAGAGGTTTAACTTGATTACGGCCTAATCCTTAGTTTCCTGATTTTTTTCAATGATTTAGGATCCACAGAACATTATTCGGATGGACGTCCGAGGCACAGATGGCATATCTTGGACTCAGTTACCCCTTCGTAATCCCCGCTTTCATATTCTCACCTCGACAAGCATCTTTGCTTCTCGGTCAACACCGTCACGTGACATCGCTCAACGCATACTCTGTATAATGGAGTCAAGTCTAAAGAATTTCCATAAAATTTCATTTTGTTACCTTGTTCGAGAAAAGTGACAGAAATCATTTGCAGTATTGATTCAGTGCCTCCTGCACACCAGATTACTTTTTGTAAGTCTTTATATTGGCACAGTTTATATAAGTTAAACTTAGAATGACCATAGACGCATGTATGTGAGAGGATGCCGTGTGAGATTAAAACAGCTTTAATGACACTGACAAATGCACATACACTGCAATAAATGAGAACAGACACTTAGGTCAAAAGTGTTCCCCGAATCTTACAACTTCCTAATCATAACAGCCAAACAAACTTTGTTTCCATTAGAAGACGATGCTTATTACTGTCATTAATGAAACACAATTATACATATGTTCACACATTTCTGTTATAATCAACATTCCTGAGACATAAACGTATGCAGCACTTATATTCTGAACATTCTGTTATTTGTTGAAAAAATGAATACAATGTACTATGTATCTTATGAGTAACAATCAGTGTTCTATGTGACTCTGCTTCCTTAAAAAGGGAATACAGGAGCATTGATAGAGATAAACTAGCCAACCGTTCAATACACTAGCCTCTTGAGTGTGTAATATGTGTGTGAAAGGCGTGGGACTGCGAATGTATGACTGGGACTTGAAGGAGTGTCAGTGTGCGAGAGAAAGAGTACGGGAGCCATTGTAGGCATATGTTGTATAGTCATTCGGTTAGAGTGTAAGGAGGCTAATCCTTTGAGATCAGAAGCACGAGAATTGCTTAGGAGAGTACCGCTTGAAAACGTTTAAGTGACCGACAAGAACGAGTTCGCGACAAGGTGTGAATCGGTGGTCCTCACGAGAGGTCACTTCAGGTCACCTATGAAATATTCAGGAAAACAATTCTTTCATGATTTATAAATCTGAAATTTTGAAGAAGCGCTCTATGCATTAATTAGCTGCCTGTGAAAATACTATATTTCACGATTAAAATCCCACTAAATGTATATTTAGTGAAAAAAAGAGAGGAGAGAGAGATAAAGAAGGAAATAGAGGGAGAGAGATAAATAAGAAAATAAAGGGAGAGAGAAAGAAGAAAGTAATGATAAGAGAGATCATAATCATAACATCCTGATAAGCAAGTCAGGCTAATGATTATGTGTCATTAATCATCATTTAACGCCATGCAAAGGCCGCGAGCACGCATGACCTTTTGTGACCTCCCTGTTTGGCAAACCAATTCACAAGTTGTTGCTGCAGTCACGGTTACTGATCTTAAGGGATTCAAAATGAAATAAAAACTTCTTTAAAATTAAATACTTTTTTTTCACCGAGATTTATACAAATAATGTGACCTGAGGATGTTATTGCAATAAATTCATAAACGGAGAAAATTTAATTCTCTGCAATCATTCAGACGTAGGGTCATGGTCACACCTGGAGCCGCAGAAAGTGCACCCCAACCACACATTGCAACGTTCAATCCACGCAACCAATCCACAACTGACACAAACAGATCCAAGGAAAGAAAGAAGGGAGGGACGGAGGCGCAATGGCGACCTGGTCATCTGCGCCGTGTCATGACCTGGAACCAATTTCCTGCAACAAGGCCAAAGGAAAAGCAGGTATGAGAGTGCCCACTTAATGGCTGTTTCCTTCATGTCGTACCAATTATTATGTCATACCAAGTGTCATGTCAATACGCTAAATAAACTACCATACCAATATTACATGAATTATCCTATCAATACCATATCACATTGATATGATATATGGTACAAATTGTCCCATCAGTATTACATTATATCAAATTACTTACTAATCCCACTTTCAAATGTAATATAGATATGCAGCTTTTGTAAAATGTTTTTATAATGAAAAATTATCATATATTTTAACAGACATAGAAGATATGAAAAATATATATACGGTTTTAGGAATATATATATATATATATATATATATATATATATATATATATATGTGTTCAGGGAACATACATCATGAGATTGGAATATACATCCTAGAATATAGAAATATGTAAAATACATAATAGATATACGTACTATGGGACGAAAGAAATGCATATAATAAAACATGCAGAAACATCGTACAATGCATAACACAAATATATGGTATGATATATAATGGAAACTATACGCTATAATAAAAATATAACAATAAAATGCAAATAATATGAAACACTGTTGAAAATAACACAGTTGGCAACTCCAAGGGAGGTCATAACTCGCGTCCTCATTGGCTGTCGCCTTTTGCAGTCCACGTATACCACCTTCCACAGGTGAGATTCCACATCACTTTTCGCTGCTCATCGCTAGCACTACAATCAGCATTGTCAGCATGTATGCCTGTGGTACACTGACACAGTCGCAGCTTCCTCACTGGTCAGCCATGAGTGCCAACAACGCTTTCAACAGCACAAGCAACTTCGCTTCCTTCCATCAACAGCCTTTACCCTTATCACCGCCGCCCGACGCTCGCCACGCCCATTTTGCACACGTGTCAACGCCCGTCTCGTACCTACAGCACCACTACAACGCCATCGCACCGCCCATGCTCTCTCCTCCGCCCGAGAAACCCGTCACGCCCCCGAAGGAACCGCACACATCCTCCTGCTGGAACACTGCCGCCTACGCTACTCCGCCCTCACATGCTGCTTCCACCTACCACTTCCACCCTCACCAGTACGCCAGCCTTGCACTGGGTGGCGTGGCACACGTGAGTCCAGCTGTTCCTCAGTCCGTTCCCAGCGCCGTCACTCACGATGCCATTCCTCACCAACAAAGCAACATCGCCGCCGCTCTCCTCACCGCTCACTCGTCGCTCACTGTTCGGCGTTGTCGACGATGCCGCTGTCCTAACTGCCAGGACACTTCGCGAGACGCTTCAGCTGCCAAGAAGAGGGAACACGTGTGCCATGTTCCAGGATGTGGCAAGCTCTACGCCAAGACTTCTCACCTCAAGGCACATCTGCTCTCGCACAGCGGAGAACGCCCCTTCGTGTGCCACTGGATCTTCTGCAACAAGGCCTTCACTCGATCCGACGAACTTCAGCGCCATCTCAGAACGCACATCGGTGAAAAACGTTTCCAGTGTGAAGAGTGCGGAAAACGTTTCATGCGTTCTGATCATCTGAACAAGCACGTCAAGACCGACGCGCCCGTCTTGCTTCTGCTTCTCCTGCCGAAGGTGACGACGTTGACGTGGAACTGTGTGACGATGAGGAGTTTCTCTCCGTTACTCTGCCAGACTCTCCTATATCAGAAACAGAAGTTGATTACGAGGAAATGCAAATGCATACCATTAGCCAGTTTGAATAATCTTATTGGGATATTTAGTTGACGAAAAAAGGAATGGTGAACCTGTAGATAAACCCTGTGCTTTTATGGAAGTAAATTGTTTATACTGATATATGTCTATTCTTATTATTTCATACCTATGGCTTATCAAACATAAGTACATTCAAGTAAAACAATGATAATCAAGAGAAATGGTTCGACTTTCATTAACTTTGAACGAAAAAAGTGCTTCATAGTTTTCAGTGTTCGCATTTTAAAATATTGCATAAAACTTGTAAGGGCTTCTTGCCCTTTGTTCCATGATTAATGACCCGGAAATAATTTCTAAGAGGTTGGGATTGGTGGATTGGTTATTCTCAAACTCTGTCAGCATCAGTAGGTATTTGTCGGCGATAATAAGCACCTGCTATTAACATTTGTCACTTACCTCTTGGCGTGTTAGTCCTTAACAGGACTGACACGCCAAGATTTTCTGTAGCAAAACGTTTCCATTAAGAGGACTTTGGTAAAACTTCCATATCTGATCATAACAAACCCTTGAGCTAAGAAATTTATTATGGGAAACCCATGCGAATGGCATTATTCTTTATGAAATGAATCCTTGTAAGTTTTTCATTAGACATCTTACAACCGAAATAATTGGTGATGAGTATGCAGAAGTCCTCTCTGTTCCTTTACCAGATTTCCCTGTATACGAAGAAGGGGAGCAGACGCATATTTGTGGTATTAATGTGTCCATATGCTTATCTGTGTGTGTGTGTGTATATATATGTGTGTGTGTGTGTGTGTGTGTGTGTGTGTGTGTGTGTGTGTGTGTGTGTGTGTGTGTGTGTGTGTGTGTGTGTGTGTGTGTGTATGTGTATAAATGTATGTATGCGTGTTGGTATATTCTAACCATTAATCTGATATTGAACTAGATAAACTATTCACCGATCTACACAAAATGAGTTGCACTGACCTTTATGCTAGGTAATAAATACCTATGCTTGTCCTTCCAAGTATCACTTCCATTCCTAAGCGCCCTCTAAAAAGTGCAATGAAGAGAACACATGTTTGTGTCAAGGGCAGGATGATGGGCGGGAGGAAGGGAAGGGCGTGGTTTTGCCAACATTAAATACTGTTACCTGATCATCATACGTCCCTTGCTGGCTGTTCAGTAATTAAGAATCCGGAACCAATTTTTACTGTGATTAAGGCTGGAAGTTTCATAGACATTATAATGAAGTACCATCTGGGTCACTTAACGAAAAGGAGTCTTTGTTGTCATGTTGAGCTATTGGCAGGAGCTAGGAAACGAATAATCCGATGCTAGAAGGGACTGCATTATTGGTATGAAGACCCTTAGCAATTAGATTATATTGCTTTATACATCGAAAACTGCGATACTGTAAAATTCTTTGCCATAGCTGCCAAAGACACACCAGGCACAGGAGGAAACACATGACAGGGATCTATTTTTGTTTTTCACTGCTCTTTACGGTTCACTGAATACTGTGTACGGAATAATGAACTCGTCCCATTGAGTTCCATCTGAGAACATTCGGACGAAAAACGTTTCTAGTTATAAAGATCGAGAAACGTTTCTTGTTAGCGGGAGGAAAGTGAATGGAAATGATACTAGGATGGACAAGCATAAAACTTCATCATATTCATTTTTGCAGCCATTCTTTCGATAAGCACATGTCAAGACAGATGTGCAGTTAGCTATGACTAATTATTTATTGTGTGGACCACTCATTTTATTTTATGTTCACCGAAAAAAAAAAAATTGGAGACAAAAAAAAAAAAAAAAAAAAAAAAAATATATATATATATATATATATATATATATATATATATATATATATATATATATATATATATTGTAAAAAATACTGAGTTGAAGGAAATTCCGAAATAGAAGGCGATGAAGAGGAAATAAGAGAAATGAGGGTCATCTACAACACGTAATCCCAAGACACTCCCTTTTATGTTACCCGAAGCCCGCCCTTTGCCCTTACCCCCCCCCCCCCACACACACACATTTTGAGATCAACGGGAAAATATAAGTTGCACCTAGTTCTACAGTAGCTTTCAAAGCGGACTTTCCCACTGAGAAGGCTTATAGAAGGGCCATGGGAGGGAGGATGGACATAACAGGAGGGCGGTCCATGGGGGGAGGGAAAGCCATGGGAAGGAGGCGGGGTCGTGGGCGGGAGGCGAGGCCATGGGCGGGAAATTGGGCGTGTTGAGGGCGTGGCGGGGCAACAAGGAGGTTTAACTTGATTATGATCTGATCCTATGGTTTCCTGATCATTCAGTGATTTATGATCCGGAACCAATTTCTCAGTGTCTGAAGCTGAAGTGGTTATTCCTAAACTGGTCAGTTTGCTTTAGACAAAGAAGACATAAAGGAGACAAGTCAACAGACAGATAGCCTTGACTATGCGGTAGGTTGTGCTCATTTTCCATTTGCAGAAAGATTATTCGGATGGACGTCCGAGGCACAACTGGCATATCTTGGACTCCGTGGTTACCCCTTTTCTTCGAAATCTCCGTTTTTATATTCTCACTTCGACAAACATCTGTACTTCCCGGTCAACACCACACGTGACATCACTCAACGCATACTCTGTATAATGGAGTCAAGTCTAAGGGATTTCCATAAAATTTCATTTTGTTACAGATATCATTTGCAACATTGATTCAGTGCCTTCTGCACACCAGATTACTTTCAGTGTCTTTATATTTGTAGTTTATATAAGTTGGTCAAAGAATGACCATAAACGAATGTATGGAAGGGGATGCCGTGTGAGATTAAAGCAGCTTTGATGACACTGGCAAATGCAGTAAATGAGAAGAGACACGTAGGTCAAAGGTGTTCCCGAATCTTACAACTTCCTAATCATAAGACCCAAACAAACTTTTCAAAAGACGAGAGAGCGTCCATCAAAGAGCTAATATAGATGTGTAACTGAAGTCTTTTCAGCACCATCTGTTGTTGGGATTTCGAAGCGAGTGTTGCTCCTTTGGTGACAGAAACCGACGTTTCTGTTAGATGTTATTGCAAGACATTTATATATATGTTCAAACATTTCTGTGTTGTAATCAACATTCATTAGACATAAACGTATGCACCACACAGATTTTGAACGCTCTTTTATTTGTTGTTGAAAAAATATATACAATAATGTTCCTTTTATCTTATTATAAGTAGCAATCAGTGTTCGATGTTACTGTTTCCTTAAAAAGATAAAATACAGAAGCATATATAGCGATAAAGTAACTAACAATAATTCAATAACTAGCCTCTTGAGTGTGGAATATGTGTTTCAAAGCCGTGTGACTGCGTATGTGTGTCTGGGATTTGAAGGAGTGTGCATCAGTGAGCGAGAGAAAGAGTACGGGTGCCATTGTAGGCACATGTTGCATAGTCATTCGGTTAGAGTGTAAGGAGACCCAGCGTCAACTGCAGTCATTCTCGCTAATCCTTTGAGATCAGAAGCACGATAATTGCTAAGGAAAATCTAATTGAAAAACAAAAAAAACGTTTAAGTGACCGACAAGAACGAGTTCGCGACAAGGTGTGAATCGGTGGCCCTCGCGAGAGGTCACTTCAGGTCACCTATGAAATATTCAGGAAAACAATTCTTTCATGATTTAAATCAAATTTTGAAGAAGCGCTCTATGCATTAATTAGGTGCCTGTGAAAATAAAATTTCACGATTAATATCCACTAATGTACATTTAGTGAAAAAAGAAGGAGAGAGAGAAGGAAGGAAAAGAGGAGAAGATAAAGAAGAAAATAAAGGAAGAGATAAAAGAAGAAGAAGAGATAAAGAAGAAAATAAAGGAGAGAGAAAGAAGGAAGAAAGAAGTAATGATAAGAGAGTCATAATCATAACATCCTGATAAGCAAGTCAGGCTAATGATGATGCGTCATTAATCATCATTTGTCGCCATGCAAAGGCCGCGAGCACGCGTGACCTTTGGTGACCTCTCTGTTTGGCCAACCAATTCACACCTTGTCGCGAACTTGCTGCTGCAGTCACGCTAACTGATCTTAAGGGATTCAAAATTAAATAAAGGCTTCTTTAAATTTCATCCGAAGAGATTATACAAATAATGACCTGAGGATGTTATTGCAAAAATTCATAAACGGAGAAATTTAAGCCTTCTCTGTAATCATTCAGACGTAGGGTCATGGTCACACCTGGAGCCGCAGAAAGTGCACCCCAACCACACATTGCAACGTTCAATCCACGCAACCAATCCACAACTGACAAAAACAGATCCAAGGAGGGAAAGAAGGCGGGGAGGGACGGAGGCGCAATGGCGACCTGGTCAGACATAAAAGATATGAATAATATATATACCATATGTTTTAGGAATATATATATTATATATATATATATATATATATATATATATATATTAAGATGTTCAGGGAACATATATCATAAGATGTAGAAATACGTATCAAAAGGAATATATATCATGAGATTGGAATATACATCATAGGATATAGGAATATGTAAAATACATAATAGATATACGTAATATGGGACGATAGAAATGCATAAAATAAAACGCAGAAACATCGTACAATACATAAACAAATATATGTATGATATATAATGGAAACTATACGCTATAATAAAAATATAACAATAAAATCGCAAATAATATGAAACACTGTTGAAAATAAAACAGTTGGCAACTCCCATGCAGGTCACAACTCGCGTCCTCATTGGCTGTCGCCTTTTGCAGTCCACGTATATTACCTTCCACAGGTGAGATTCCACATCACTTTTCGCTGCTCATCGCTAGCACTACAATCAGCATTGTCAGCATGTATGCCTGTGGTACACTGACAGAGTCGCAGCTTCCTCATTGGTCAGCCATGAGTGCCAACAACGCTTTCAACAGCACAAGCAACTTCGCTTCCTTCCATCAACAGCCTTTACCCTTATCACCGCCGCCCGACGCTCGCCACGCCCATTTTGCACACGTGTCAACGCCCGTCTCGTACCTACAGCACCACTACAACGCCATCGCACCGCCCATGCTCTCTCCTCCGCCCGAGAAACCCGTCACGCCCCGAAGGAACCGCACACATCCTCCTGGAACACTGCCGCCTACGCTACTCCGCCCTCACATGCTGCTTCCACCTACCACTTCCACCCTCACCAGTACGCCAGCCTTGCACTGGGTGGCGTGGCACACGTGAGTCCAGCTGTTCCTCAGTCCGTTCCCAGCGCCGTCACTCACGATGCCATTCCTCACCAACAAAGCAACATCGCCGCCGCTCTCCTCACCGCTCACTCGTCGCTCACTGTTCGGCGTTGTCGACGATGCCGCTGTCCTAACTGCCAGGACACTTCGCGAGACGCTTCAGCTGCCAAGAAGAGGGAACACGTGTGCCATGTTCCAGGATGTGGCAAGCTCTACGCCAAGACTTCTCACCTCAAGGCACATCTGCTCTCGCACAGCGGAGAACGCCCCTTCGTGTGCCACTGGATCTTCTGCAACAAGGCCTTCACTCGATCCGACGAACTTCAGCGCCATCTCAGAACGCACACCGGTGAAAAACGTTTCCAGTGTGAAGAGTGCGGAAAACGTTTCATGCGTTCTGATCATCTGAACAAGCACGTCAAGACGCACCAGAACCGACGCGCCCGTCTTGCTTCTGCTTCTCCTGCCGAAGGTGACGACGTTGACGTGGAACTGTGTGACGATGAGGAGTTTCTCTCCGTTACTCTGCCAGACTCTCCCGTGTCTGAAACGGATTTTCAAGAGCCTAATGATGTAATTGGGAATGACCAGATACAAAGCATCAGCCAGCTTCTATGAAATCAGTAAATTTATAGGTGAACCTGTTATATGTACCTTGTGATTTAGAATAACTAAATAATGTCTTATTGAAATATCTGTTTTACATCTGAAACCTGAAAGAGAGAAATTACTCATGGAAAACGCAGATGCATCAGATCAAACGCCTTATATGACATGGACATTTATAAATTCCAGTGAGAGATTACAAATGATAATTTAACCAGACACACATGTTCGAGATAATTTATTGATGTGAGTTTACGCAGAATTTTATATTCTTTTCTATCGACAATTAAAATAGATCTTTTTCATAGCAGCAAATAAATGAAAACCGAGAAAGCCTCTGGACACTACATAATTGTAACAACGACAAAACAGATTAAAAAAAAAAATAAAAAAAATTAATAAAAACATGAGGAAATGACACAAAATAATAATAATAATAATAATAGGAAGATAGACTCCCACTGACATTTTGTTAATTGTCGCGAACTTGTTATTGTCAAACTGGTGATTCACAAACAAATAATTGTTGCTAATGTATATATGGATACCTACGCACATGAAAACATATGTATACACGCATATATATAAGTATATGTGTATACACGCACACTCACATATATATATATATATATATATATATATATATATATATATATATATATATGCACACACACATATACACGCACACACACACACATATGTACACGGGATCCTCGGTTTACAACGGTCTCGACTTTCGACGTTTCGTGGATGCGACGTGTGTGGTATTTACACTGTCTTCCGTGTGTTCCTTTATCCCTTGTTATGTGTTCATGTACGTCATAGAAGTGTCTTGAATACATGTATACATACTGCATTAGCATATAGGAATGATTTCGGTGCTTATGTATGTACATGTACTGTATTTAGGTGTGCGTCGACGTCATCGTAGTAACGGATCTCCGTCGTAAGTCAAGGACCCCTGTATATGCATATATATATATATATATATATATATATATATATATATATATATATATATATATGTATGTGTGTGTGTGTGTGTGTGTGTGTGTGTGTACAAATATATACATAATATACACAAAATTATGATATATACCATCTATGTGTGCGTGTCTCGCCTGGAATCTAAATAGTTACCCTTGTTTGAAATTAGGTAATATCCGAAAATGAGACGATTTTTGTGCACCATTATTCAAAATGGGAAGGAAACCATTTTCATCTTTTAAGGCTTATCACTCTGCAAGGCCGCCCATTCCTCATCCTCTTTGGCTTATCTCAACCTAAGAATATCAAATGTTTCCGGCAATTGTGCATCAGTTATCAGTATGCTGCTCTGGTAAAGAATATATGATAAATATTATTACATGCATAATTCATTTGAACGAGCAAGTAATTATATTTTCAGCTGTTTACATTTGTGTAATCATTTGTACCTGTGAGGTGCATAAAACAATGTGTCTCAAGTAGAAACAATTTATTGTAGTTTATGCAATTTAGTAAGCACTGAATAGCATTAAAAAAGGTTGCAGTTTGGATCACTATATGAAGTATATCATTTGTTATTCTCTGCGGTAAAGTAGTTGGCCAAGACACCCTTTTCTAATGATGAATCGTCATACAAAACAAATATATTTTTCAAATGCATAAAAAGACGGTTCGTTATTCATTCAAATCAAAACAGCAGGTCTCTGTTTCAAAGAAGGCGGAACAGAGGGCGTGAGAAGTGGCCACGGGCGGCGTAGGGGCCCGGGCAGAGGGCCATGGGCGGGGTTAGAGGCCCAGGACACGGGCCAAGGGCGGAGCGCGGCGAGTAACAAAGAGGTTGAACTCGATCATGACCTCATCATCACCTGTTCCGTGTTCATTGTTACTTGATTTATGACCCGGAACCAATTTCTCAATCACTGCCGCTAAAAGAAAGATAGTGAAGGGCTTACTTTAAAACGCTTGTCATTTTGCTGTAGAATATATGAGTATTTAAATCAAGAACTTTTATAATGGACGTTCAGAATGAGCTGCGTGTCCAGCGTTAGTGAACTATATACGTCAATATTACAATCACTGAAATGAATACATTGGGATTCACTGAACAACACATAGAATCTTGAATATTAACTTATTCCCCGCTATAAGCATTAATAGTGACCGGTCATTTAAGAACTCTTGACCTTCATTTGATCCAATCCGCTTTCAACAAATCTACGCGACTGATGGTCTATTTCAGTTATAAAAGGCAGAAACAGAAAATTATTGGAAAACATTCGTTCTTTCAGCACTTTGATTGACATTTCATTTGTTAGTGTCAAAACAAGCACTACTTCCATCCATTAATGATGCCAACGCGTGGAAATGAGGTCAAACACTGGTAAAACATTCAAGTGACCGACGAGAATGAGTTCGCGACAAGGTGTGAATCGGTGGCTCTCACAATAGGTCATTTCAGGTCACATGAAGAAGCTAGGGAAGCAATCGTGTTTAGTAATTCAAAGATAAAATGCAGCCTGGTTGGAACTGCGAGAAGTCGAAACACATCCCCGTTTCGAGAAGTTAGACCATCAAGAATATCTATTATGAATTCCCTCTGTCCTCTGTTCGATCACTGATATTGCATCATCCCATACTTTGCAATTATGCGTATTTCTTCGTGATTATATGATAAAACAAGAACTGGAAGCGTATGTATTTTCACAATGGAAAGGGAGAGGTGCCACAGCCATTGCATTTCCAAACTTTCTATTTTACTAATCAGGTAAAGAATTCTCAATTAGCGGTAGTTGTTGGCATTCAGATCTAATTATCTTGAGTTGATTGTTCTGGTAATTTCTATGATGCGTCATCTTATTGTGCTATAATACATCCCACAAATTCTGACCACAGGAAATGTTTATGATCGTTGAATTGCAAAAAACTATTTTCTAATATTTTTTCCATATTCACGATACTGAATTACACATATATGAAGGCTTAAACAGCACTTGCTTGTAATCTGGCATTATTTTTTGTCATTTTCCTTATGATGGATTTCGAATTATCAAAGCAAAATAAATTTCGTATCATTTCATTTTATTATAAACTGTAGAGTATTCACAGGGTTTCTTTAGGTTCACCTGAGCAGAGCGATACAAAGGATATTCCTTACGTAGAAAAGCTATCCATTATGCATCGCATCCGACGTCCAAATCAGACTCCTACAAATCTGCTTCAGAAACGGGAGAATCTGGCAATGCGAAGGAGCCAAAGTCCCCGCTAGAATCGCCGGCAACTTCATCGCACAACTCGACGTCGACGTGATCACCTTCGGCAGGAGATGCAGGAGCAAGACGGGCGCGTCGGTTCTGGTGAGTCTTGACGTGCTTGTTGTAGTGGTCGGATCGCATGAAACGTTTTCGCACTCGCCACACTGGAAACGTTTTTCGCCCGTGTGCGTTCTGAGGTGACGCTGGAGTTCATCGGAGCGAGTGAACGCCTTGTCGCAGTACATCCACTGACACGCGAAAGGCCGCTCTCCGCTGTGTGAAAGCAGATGTGCCTTCAGGTGGGACGTCTTGGCATACAGCTTGCCACATCCCGGACATGGCAGATGTGTTCCCTTTTCTTGCCGCCTGTACTGCTTCGTGAGGCGTCCTGGCAGTTGGGGCAGCGGCATCGTCGACAGCGACGACCGACTGACGTGCTGACGAGAGCAGAAGCGATGCGCCTTCGCTGCTGAAGGATGGTGTCCTGTGCGAAGGCGTTGGGTTGCTGTGGAATGAGGGTTGGGTTGCCTTGGCCCAGCAAAGGTCCGGCGAGACCGGCGTGCTGCTGATAAAGGTGGAATGGATAATCGTAAGTGGCGTGAGAAGTGGGCGTGTTATAAGCACTTGCACTCCACCAGGGCGATGTGTGCGATTCCCTCGGGGGTGAGGGTTTTCTCGGCGGAGGAGAGAGCGTGGGCGGTGTGATAGCGTTGGCAAGGGCGCTGTAGTGGTGCTGCAGGTACGGATAGGGAAGCTCCCCGACGCCGCCGTACAAGTTAGGCGGCGAGACGTTGGCAAGTTGTCCACGGACGTGAGGAGAGTCGTGGTGGAGTCTGTTGATGGAAAGGACCGAATGCATTTCTGGCGTGACCGTTGCTGTAATAATCCATGGCTGTTCCCTCAACTGTGCCACAAGAATACATCTCAGTGCCGTTGGTTCCGCAAGGAGCAAGTGGGAAGCGGAGAGTGAGGTGGACTTACCTGGAGCAGTGATATACCTGTCCTGGGAATGCGGGTTCTCCTCTCGGCCGTCTGTCAAATACTGCCAGTATATCCAAATGTATTTTATTTACGATTTATTTTTTTCTGTATGATAATTTTCATACTTTATTATTTGGATATTCTGAATATACGTGAATACTAAATCAGTGAACAAACAAATGCACACACACACACACACACACACACACACACACACACACACACACACATATATATATATATATATATATATATATATATATATAGAGAGAGAGAGAGAGAGAGAGAGAGAGAGAGAGAGAGAGAGAGAGAGAACTTCACGACTTGGAATTCCATAGGTTACTCTGGCATTACTCGTTTGCTTAGAATTACTACTATCATTTTACATTTATTTTATCTATGCACTTAATTCTGCAACTTGGTCTTGGTTAGCTTTTTACTTATGCTTACGTGACGCATTATCCAGGTATTCTTCTAAAGCTTCATATTCGTTCCTGCAGCCATTCTTTTGATAGGTAGATCTCAAGACAGAAGTGCAGCTAGCCATGGTGTAAATTATGTATAGTTTGGACCACTCATTTTATGTAATGTTCACCGAAATTAGAGAACTGAATTGTACTCCGAGACAAAAAAAAAAAAAAAAAAAAAAAAAAAATATATATATATATATATATATATATATATAACAAAATAATGCGAAATGAAGTTCACGTCCATTTTATATTTGCAAAAGCCCGCCTTTTCCCCTCACCCTCTTGTAAATCAATAGAAAAACATAAGAATTGCACTGGGAAGGCTTATAGAAGTGCCATAGAAGGGAGGATGGACATTAGCAAGAGGGCTACCCATGGGGGGGGGAATGGGCAGGAGGCGGGTCATAGGCGGGAAAATGGGCGTGTTGAGGAGTGGCGGGCAACAAAGAGGTTTAACTTGATTACGGCCTAATCCTTAGTTTCCTGATTTTTCAATGATTTAGGATCCACAGAACATTATTCGGATGGACGTCCGAGGCACAGATGGCATATCTTGGACTCGTAATCTCCGCTTTCATATTCTCACCTCGACAAGCATCTTTGCTTCTCGGTCAACACCGTCACGTGACATCGCTCAACGCATACTCTGTATAATGGAGTCAAGTCTAAGGAATTTCCATAAAATTTCATTTTGTTACCTTGTTCGAGAAAAGTGACAGAAATCATTTGCAGTATTGATTCAGTGCCTTCTGCACACCAGATTACTCTTTGTAAGTCTTTATATTGGTACAGTTTATATAAGTTGAACTTAGAATGACCATAGACGCATGTATGTGAGAGGATGCCGTGTGAGATTAAAACAGTTTTAATGACACTGACAAATGCACATACACTGCAATAAATGAGAACAGACACTTAGGTCAAAAGTGTTCCCCGAATCTTACAACTTCCTAATCATAACAGCCAAACAAACTTTGTTTCCATTAGAAGACGATGCTTATTACTGTCATTAATGAAACACAATTATACATATGTTCACACATTTCTGTTATAATCAACATTCCTGAGACATAAACGTATGCACCACTTATATTCTGAACATTCTGTTATTTGTTGAAAATTATTAATACAATGTACCATGTATCTTATGAGTAACAATCAGTGTTCTATGTGACTCTGCTTCCTTAAAAATGGAATACAGGAGCATTGATAAAAACTAGCCAACCGTTCAATACACTAGCCTCTTGAGTGTGTAATATGTGTGTGAAAGGCGTGGGACTGCGAATGTATGACTGGGACTTGAAGGAGTGTCAGTGTGCGAGAGAAAGAGTACGGGAGCCATTGTCGGCATATGTTGTATAGTCATTCGGTTAGAGCGTAAGGAGGCTAATCCTTTGAGATCAGAAGCACGAGAATTGCTTAGGAGAGTACCGCTTGAAAACGTTTAAGTGACCGACAAGAACGAGTTCGCGACAAGGTGTGAATCGGTGGCCCTCGCGAGAGGTCACTTCAGGTCACCAATGAAATATTCAGGAAAACAATTCTTTCATGATTTATAAATCTGATATTTTGAAGAAGCGCTCTATGCATTAATTAGCTGCCTGTGAAAATAATATATTTCACGATTAATATCCCACTAAATGTATATTTAGTGAAAAATGAGAGGAGAGAGAGATGAAGAAGGAAATAGAGGGAGAGAGATAAGAAAATAAAGGGAGAGAGAAATAAGGAAGAAAGGAAGTAATGATAAGAGAGGTCATAATCATAACATCCTGATAAGCAAGTCAGGCTAATGATGATGCGTCATTAATCATCATTTGTCGCCATGCAAAGGCCGCGAGCACGCATGACCTTTGGTGACCTCCCTGTTTGGCCAACCAATTCACACCTTGTCGCGAACTTGCTGCTGCAGTCACGCTTACTGATCTTAAGGGATTCAAAATTAAATACAGGCTTCATTTAAATTTCATCCGAAGAGATTTATACAAATAATGACCTGAGGATGTTATTGCAAAAATTCATAAACGGAGAATATTTAAACCTTCTCTGTAATCATTCAGACGTAGGGTCATGGTCACACCTGGAGCCGCAGAAAGTGCACCCCAACCACACATTGCAACGTTCAATCCACGCAACCAATCCACAACTGACAAAAACAGATCCAAGGAGGGAAAGAAGGCGGGGAGGGACGGAGGCGCAATGGCGACCTGGTCATCTGCGCCGTGTCATGACCTGGAACCAATTTCCTGCAACAAGGCCAAAGGAAAAGCAGGTATGAGAGTGTCCCACTTAATGGCTGTTTCCTTCATGTCGTACCGCGTTCATGGTGGATGTCGTACCAATTATTGTCATAATAAGTGTCATGTCAATGCGCTAAATAAACTACCATACCAATATTACACGAATTATCATATCAATATCATATCGCACTGATTGATATACAAATTGTCATATCAATATTATATTACATTAAATTAATTACTATTCCCTCTTTCAATATCATATAATTTAATAAACATAAAAGATATGAAAATATATATATATATCATACGCTGTTTTAGGAATATTTATACACTAAGATGTTAAGGGAACATATATCATAAGATGTAAGAATACATATAAGGAATATATATCATATTGGAATATATTATAAGAATATGTAAAATACATAATAGATATACGGAATATGGGAAAATAAGACAAAAATGGAAAAATAGGGCACAAGGTATCTACCTATACGCTATGCAAATAATATGAAACTGTTGAAAATAACACAGTTGGCAACTCCAAGGAGGTCATAACTCGCGTCCTCATTGGCTGTCGCCTTTTGCAGTCCACGTATATTACCTTCCACAGGTGAGATTCCACATCACTTTTCGCTGCTCATCGCTAGCACTACAATCAGCATTGTCAGCATGTATGCCTGTGGTACACTGACAGAGTCGCAGCTTCCTCACTGGTCAGCCATGAGTGCCAACAACGCTTTCAACACCACAAGCAACTTCGCTTCCTTCCATCAACAGCCTTTACCCTTATCACCGCCGCCCGACGCTCGCCACGCCCATTTTGCACACGTGTCAACGCCCGTCTCGTACCTACAGCACCACTACAAAACGCCATCGCACCGCCCATGCTCTCTCCTCCGCCCGAGAAACCCGTCACGCCCCCGAAGGAACCGCACACATCCTCCTGCTGGAACACTGCCGCCTACGCTACTCCGCCTCACATGCTGCTTCCACCTACCACTTCCACCCTCACCAGTACGCCAGCCTTGCACTGGGTGGCGTGGCACACGTGAGTCCAGCTGTTCCTCAGTCCGTTCCCAGCGCCGTCACTCACGATGCCATTCCTCACCAACAAAGCAACATCGCCGCCGCTCTCCTCACCGCTCACTCGTCGCTCACTGTTCGGCGTTGTCGACGATGCCGCTGTCCTAACTGCCAGGACACTTCGCGAGACGCTTCAGCTGCCAAGAAGAGGGAACACGTGTGCCATGTTCCAGGATGTGGCAAGCTCTACGCCAAGACTTCTCACCTCAAGGCACATCTGCTCTCGCACAGCGGAGAACGCCCCTTCGTGTGCCACTGGATCTTCTGCAACAAGGCCTTCACTCGATCCGACGAACTTCAGCGCCATCTCAGAACGCACACCGGTGAAAAACGTTTCCAGTGTGAAGAGTGCGGAAAACGTTTCATGCGTTCTGATCATCTGAACAAGCACGTCAAGACGCACCAGAACCGACGCGCCCGTCTTGCTTCTGCTTCTCCTGCCGAAGGTGACGACGTTGACGTGGAACTGTGTGACGATGAGGAGTTTCTCTCCGTTACTCTGCCAGACTCTCCTATATCAGAAACAGAAGCTGATCACGAAATGCAGATGCACACCATCAGTCAGTTTTTATAATCCCATTGGGATATTTAGTTGACGAAAAAAAGAAAGGTGAACCTGTAGATAAACCCTGTGCTTTTATGGAAGTAAATTGTTTATACTGATATATGTCTATTTTAATTTCATACCTATGGCTTATCAAACATAAGTACATGCAATTAAAACCGATGACTAAGAGATTTTTTTTTATTTTGAATGAAAAAGGTGCTTCATAGTTTTCAGTGTTAGGATTTTAAAACTTAAAATAAAATTTCGGCATATAAACATAAAAAGCAATGTCTGAGACAATTCTTACCTTCACCCACTCGACTACCTCATCCACTCTGATTGCGCCTATGATCAGGAACGAGAAAACAGGCTACTTTTAACTTCTAAAACATGAACACCTTTACAGCATCATGGCATTAGCATGCCTATAATGCGCATCGATAAGACATTTCTTATTGGTTAATCGCTAGTAGAGATCCCTCGGTAACATGATAACTGTTTTAGTAACTGCTTATCCAAACCAAGATCAAATCTACGTACATTAACGTACGTAGATTGATTAACAGTGAATTGCATATGAATAAAATTTCACACAAGCATATATATATATATATATATATATATATATATATATATATATATATATAATATATATATATATTATATATATCATATATATACATACAGATCATACATATGTGTGTCAATATCTAATATATATAGATGTATCATATATGTGTATGTAATCTTATGCATATGCATTATATATGTATATATACATACATATATGTGTATATACACACACACGTGTGTATATCTATATCTATTTATCTGTCTACATGTGTGTGTGTGTATATGTATGTATATATATAATATATATACTTATACCACACACACACACACACACACACACACACACATACATATTATTATATATATATATATATATATATATATAATATATATATATATATATATATATAATATGTATATACATGTAAGTATATATTGAAGATATGTATGAACAATAATATAATGTCAGGAAGTTACACTAACATCCCTATATTGACAAAATGAACCTTTTATCTCAATAGTCAACAAAAAGAAATTCCCAAAGGAAGCTCGCTTGAACAGATCAGTAAACCCAAACTCTATTATCTTTACGAATCTTACAGATGAACAATTTCCCGGTGTATAAAATAGTATAATCTTATAAACGGGTTGATAACGTGAATGCAGTCTAGCATCGGGTTATTCGTTTCCTATCTTCTGCCAATTGCTCAAAATGACAACAAAGACACCATGTTTTAGGATGATGAGACGAGGGCGGGGCGACGTGAGCAATAGAAAGAGGTTGTACTGGATGACGACCTGATCATCACCTGCTTCTTGCCCTTTGTTCCATGATTAATGACCCGGAACTAATTTCTAAAAGTCAAGGCTGGTCGATTGGTTATTTTCAGAATCTGTCAAAATGTTTTAGAAGCGTATTATAGGCAATTCATAGGCACGTATCAGCCGTCAATGAAAGATAATATTAGTGTTGCCAAAAAGGATGCTGGAAGTTTCTTTTTTTTTTTGACAATGATGTCACATTGCATGCTACAGTTAAAAAAAAAAAAAAAAACAACAGATATTGAGGCATTTAAGAAAAGTACACTTCACCTTTTGGTCTTTACCTGTTGAGACAATTACAACTGTTGAGTCAATACCATGGGGATGCATACCTGTGGTACTTCTGGAGAATCTCAATTTATCTTATCACTATTCACCGATCTACACAAAAAGAGTTGCCACTGACCTTTATGCTTGTCCTTCCAAGTATCACTTCCATTCCTAAGCGCCCTCTAAAAAGTGCAATGAAGAGAACAGATGTCTGTGTCAGGGGCAGGATGATGGGCGGGAGGAAGGGATGGGCGTGGTTTTGCCAACATTAAATACTGTTACCTGATCACCACACGTTTCTTGCTGGCTGTTCAGTAATTGACGATCCGGAAGCAATTTGCCTGTGATTAAGGCTAGACGTTTCATAGGCATTGTAATGATATGCCATCTGTCACTTAACGTAAAGGAGTTTTTGTTGTCATATTGAGCTAGTGGCAGGGGCTAGGAAACGAATTAACCGATGCTAGAAGGGACTGCATCATTGGTATGAAGACCCTTAGCAATTAGATTATACTGCTTTATACATCGAAAAATGCTATACAGGAGGAAACATATGGCAAAGCTTTTATTTTTCGTCATTCATTTAGGTTTATATGTCAGAGAATGTTCTTTTACGGCTTACTGAATACTGTGAAGAATGGCGTTCCATCCGAGAACACTCGGACGAAAAAACGTTTCTAGTTAAAAAGATCGAGAAACGTTTCTTGTTAGCGGGAGGAAAGTGAATGGAAATGATAGTAGGATGGAAAAGCATAAAGGTCACTGGCAATTCATTCTGTGTAAATCGGTGAATTGTGTTAAGATTATCTAGTTCAATATCAGATTAACGGCTAGAATATATGAGAACATACATGTGTAAACAAGTAAAGGATGGAAAATGTTTCAACGTGTAGAAAAACAGTGCTGTAAAAGGGGACAAGTGCATGATATACAGGATCCAAAGCCTAAGCCATATGACTATGAATCTCATTTTGTTATTGGTGACAAAATGAGATTCAGACGAGGCGCTATATCCAAATGAACTGAAATAGTGCACAAATGGGAATCACAAAACCCTCTTATTTTTAAGAGTATGTTCGACACAATGGCAAAGACACACGCCCTCTCCTTCACCTTGTCTCCGCCTATACAGTCTCTCAGCTCCACCCCGGACATACACACACACACCTGCACGCACACACACACACACACACACACACACACACACACACACATACACACACACACATACACACAAATCTGCTTTTATTATATTTCTCATATCGATTTTCTAGTGGTCAATGATGATGATGATGGTGATGCTACTACTACTACTAATAATAATAATACTGTTATTTGTAAAAATGAATTATAATGATAATGACGACCATAATAATAATATTGATAATAATAGCAATGATAACAATAATTATTCATATACATACACACATATATATCTGTGTGTGTGCGTGTGTGTGTGTGCGTGTGTGTGTGTGTTGTTGTGTGTTGTGTGCATGTGTATGTGTGTGTGTATGCACACAAACACATATAAATCATGTGTTTAACTTGCATCCTTCCACTGAAGGACAGATGTGTGTGTGTGTGTATGTGTGTGTGTGTGTGTGTGTGTGTGTGTGTGTGTGTGTGTGTGTGTGTGTGTGTGTGTGTGTGTGTGTGTGGTATATATATATATATATATATATATATATATATATATATATATATATATATATATATATATATATACATATATATATATATATATATATATATATATATATATATAATATATATATATATATATATATCATTATACACACACACACACACACACACACACACACACACACACACACACACACACACACACACATATATATATATATATTATATATATATATATATATATATATATATATATATATATATATATATATATATATATATATATATATATATATATATATATTTATATATATATATATATATATATATATATATATATATATATATATATTATATATATATATATATTATATATATATATATATATATTTGTATATATACATATATGTGCATGTGTGTATGTTGTATATATATACATATATTTACACACACACATATAAGTGTGTGTGAGTTTGTGTGTGTGTGTGTGTGTGTGTTGTGTGTGTGTGTGTGTGTGTGTACACATGCATTTATATATACATATACATTTATATGTATGCGCGCGCGCACATACACACATATAAATCATGTGTTTGCATCCTTCCAATGAAGGACAAATGTGTATGTCATTATATATATATATATAATATATATATATATATATATATATATATATACATATCTATCTCTATCTATCTATCTATATTATATATATATATATATATATATATACATATACATATACATTTACATACATATATATGTATGTGTGTGTGTGCGTGTGTATGTATATATATGCATCTATTTTACACACACACATATGTGTGTGTGTGTATGTGTGTTTTTCTATACACATACATTTTATATATACATATATGTGTGTGTGTGTGTGCGCGCGCATGTGTGTGTGTAGACATAAATCAAGTGTTCAGCCTGCATCATTCCACTAGGCAAATATCTTCGAAATAATCACTGACAAGTTGCATGGCAGCGCCGCCCTTGGCTGCCTGACGCCCTTCCTGGCCAGCCTTGGTCGGGCGAATATTCAAACGGAACGATACTTGTCACGGAAGAGTATAAAGCTTTGGCTATGGCGAGTTAAGACTTATTCTTGGTCAATGATTATTTCACAATAGCGAGGCGCCTGGGGTCAACAATAACAAGTTCGCGACAAGGTGTGAATTGAGAGCAGGTCATCTCAGGTTAGGCGCTGTTTCACAAAGGGACAATTTGTCAAGGCCCTTTTCGGATTGGGCGTTCGAATGTTTGTATTTCCTCGGGACATTATTGATTATTCTTTGTTCCGTATTTATTCGCTGTGTTACATGTATCATAATATAGTTAATGAAAATATTTATTATTATTAAATCTAGTTCTTTCTTTTATGCTGCACTTGTCTTTGCAACAAAATGTTTGGGTATATACACCAATCTTTCCAGAATTCATTAACGATTGTAAATATCGAACCCTAATATTGTAAATATTGTCATTATCAAAATATCTTGATTGCAAGTATGGCTTATTATTATCTATAACCTAACCTGCTGGACGACCTTACGGATGGCTACAAACATCAAGCCCTCCCAGTACCTTCGCCAGCGTCTGGAGTCGAGAAGAATGGAGAACCATGATCGCCCAAGATGCAAAGCAGGGGACTTGAAGAAGAAAAATAACAAGGCCAATCATATATCCAAGAATTACTAC